GAACCTTATATGCCAGTTTGAGAAATTTAACCTAAGGAAGGCATCATTTAGGGGCAAAGATTTACCTTCAAGTTGCTTTATTGTAGAATTATTCATAGTACAAAGAAAGAAAGGATTCCTGACAATTCATTAAAAACGGAAGAATTAGAGTATTTACGTACTGAAACACTATATAAACAAATAGTGTTGGGGGAGACTATAAAACAGTCAGGGAAATGTTCTGGATATAGTGATAAGAGGGGAGAAAAAAGCAAGTCACAAGCAGTATTTAGAGGCAGCAAAAATAGTGATTCTGGAGCCAGACTGCCTTTGTTCACTTCCCAGTTCTTCCTCTCACTAGCTGTGTCACTTCAGGCAAGTTACCTAGCCTCCTAGGACCTCAGTTTCCTCATCTGTAAAGTGGGCGTAATACTAGCACCCAGATCATAAGGCCGTTGTGAAATTGCTAGGAAATATTAACAAAGCACTTACAACAGTGTCTGAATCATTGCAGGTGCAACATAATCACTGGCTCTCATTAACATTTACAGTGTGTTTCTGTTTTTAAACACAACGTATGAAACTATTATACACAAGAAGAAACTTGGAAGAATATTTCCCAAAATATTAGCAATGATTATCTCAATGGGATTAAGGGCAGTTTTTAGGTTTTTTTCTTTGTTTATTTTGTTACCTTTCTAGAATCAAGATGCAGCATTTTTGTAATTTTAAAAGTTGGTAATTTTTAATGAAATCACCTTTTCTTATATGCTTTTGCTCTTAAAATATTTTATTAATAAAACATCATTTTAAAAACAAGTATAATATGTGACAGTATAATGTAATGTACAGCTGCAGATTTTACTTAAAATTCAGTACAAATCCACTGTCCTTGAAGAATTTGAAGTCCACGATATAAAGTAAGGTATAACCGTGGTTTTGTTTTTTAATGTGCTACTCTACATAGCATTCAGAAATGTCATTAATTTATTCACTTAACAAATATTTTAAGTGCCTACTCTGTGAATAGAACACACAAAAATCCTTGCCACGTAGTTTACATTTTAGTGGGGGGAAACAAATAAAAAACAAAATATACAAATAAATTATGCGGCATGCTAGATGATAATTGGGTCTGAAAAAAATGAAGCAGAGTGGCAGGGATCAGGGAGAGAGCAGAGGGGAAGGAAGGAGCGTGGGCTACAGTTTTTCAAAGAGTGGCCATACTAAGCCTCACTGAACAGGCACTGTATGCCAGCACTGATGAACAGCCCCTTGATAAATACACCCGACATCCATTCCATCATTCCACAAAGAGGCAGTGAGCACGTGGCATGTGCCAGGTCCCAGCTGGGTGCCAAGGATGCAGTAGTGTCCAAGCAGCTGTGGTTCCTGCCATACTTTACAAAGTATAAAATCTTATGCTCACAATACGATCTGGTCCTTTACAGAAGTCTCCAGACTCCTGCTCTTAACCGTTAGCTTATCTGAAAAACTAACTTGAGCATTTGGGAGTGAAATCATCATAATTGCAGTTCATTTAGATAAGAAAAGTCTCCTGGGTGTGGTTGTGCCTGCTCTGACGGTTGACACCTACGGTGAGTTGGGAAATGCACACTGTGCCTTTAAGGTTTAATACATTTAATGCTTGAGGCGAATTACTAGAAGACATTTTGTGACATTTGAAGCTGTTTCAATTTCAGCTGCCTGTTATCTGACTCACCAAAATAAAATCACTAAAAATTTGCAGCCTACTTACTTTGAAGTTCGTGTATGAGAACTGTGATTCTCCTGATGCCCCTCAAATATAAAAAATCATTTTAGAGATATTGTGGTTTGAAAAGCAGTGAAAAATATAAATTCAAGACTTTGGGTACTGTTAACTAAAAATAGCATCCATGCCTCTTTTCAAGCTCCATCATATAAAGCTCTATTCTAAGTCTGTAGAAAGTTGAGATTTCAACTCTAATCCACCAAATCTCATGTATTCCCTCACTCAACAAATTTTTACTGAGGACCTACTGTGTGCCAGGCAGTGCTATTGCTTACAGAACAGTTACTTATCAGGTGTCAGTAGCCTATTCAATATCACATACCCCTCACCAATGATATTTTCACTTTTAAATGAGATGAAAAAACAGATATGTTCCTATTATCCCGAAGCATGTAGTCTACCAGAGAAGAGAATCCCAAAAAATACAAACAACAACAACAAATAATTACAATTGTGAAGAATAGGACCCTTGGAAAGAGAATAACAGGGCACCTCATTCCCATTGGAAGACTTGGAAAGCTCCTTGGAGGAAGTGACGTCTGAGGTGGGACCCAGAGGAAAAGCTGGGTGAAGCCAAGTGAATTTTTCGGGAAGAGTATCCTTGCCTGTTGCCACAACGTTCACATGCTGAAATGCTAAGGATCTGGGGAAATTAGGGCCAGGATATAATATTTAACATGTGTGAGTTGGATATTAGTATTCTTATTACCCTTCTATATACACATACACAAACTGACTTACAAACAGGCTAACTAAGGCTGGGAGAACTGCCAGTTCATCCGTTTGCCCAGTAAATGGCAAATCTGGTGAACAAACTCAGGCTGGCCGGATGGAGCTTTTCACTGCCCCATCCTGTGCATCTCTCCCCGGCTCCCTGACGCTAATGAAACCCGGGAGCCTTTGCAGCACTTCCTAGCTCCCATTTCAGTTCACGTGACTCTGGGCTCTTCTAAGGAGAAAACGATTTCAGAGGCATATGATTTTGCTTTAAGATTTCCAAATTCAGGGAGAAGAAGTGTCAAAAGCTGTCCTTTAAGTTCAGCTCCATATTCTCTAGCACTCTGGCAACCCACTCACCCCACCTTCAATAACACAGTTGGTTCACAGATTCCTTTTCTGGAAAGAAAACATCACCATCAATTCCTTGGACTCCTGGAGATTCCAAATACAGACTCTGGTGTTTTTGTGAAATGCACTCCCTCCTTTACCTGGTTTCCTGGTCCTGATGGAGTCACTCACTTCCTGGGGAGACAATACCAAGCTCAGGAGCTGAGCTAAGTTCTGCAACCCTCAGAAAACCTCCAAGGTAGAAAGCCATTTTCCTCTTAGGGCAAACACAGATACAGATAGATGTAGTCACGCATCTATTTGTGGTCATTTAACTCCCACTTGACAGGTGAAGGAAATTAGTTGGAATGGAGTGATGTGACCTGCAGGAGTCTAATAGCCATTTAGATGATATTTCCAAAAATTCGTTGGAACTCAGAGGTTTTTCTGGTCATCAACAGGGCCCTCAACTTTCCCTCCCTTCTAGACATTAACCCATAATGATTCTGGAACCAGCAGAACTGGATCAAACCCCAAATCCTCCACACAGTGGCTGTATGATTTTGGGCAACTTAACTGATATATCTGAGCCTCAATACCATGAGCTCAAAAAATATTAATTTACTTTCCTATATCCCCTTTGATTGATATGCTATTAGTTTTCACAAGCATGGCAGTAGCAGTTTACAAAATATTAAATATATCTATAGTTTTAATAAATAGCCACTGCCTTGAGCTCTCCAAGGAACCCTACCACCACCACCACTACCTCCCGTATCACCAGAACCTCTTCATAATCCAGCAAGAAAAGAGTTAATAACTCACACATCTGGGACCTCTAAGACCCACAGCTGGTATCCTTTCTGATTGGTTGATGCCCAAGACAGTCAAAGTGCCCAAAAGTACCTGTACTTGCTCCCTACCATGGGTTCTCCCAGGGATCCCCAAGGGCTATCTGTGCTTCATCCATGCACTCCTCCAGGTCCTGGGGATCCCTGGCCATCCTGACACGCACGTACAGGAGCAGCCAATCCACTATGCTTCCATATGCCAATATTTGTTCCACCTGCCAGAGTGTGTCCTGATCCAGCAGAAGTAGGGTGGGGATGGCTCTGGCAGGTCTGGTAACGCCCAGGTGAGCAAGCCCTCCATGCCCATCTGGACCAGAGAGGTTGTGATTGCCCACCTTGGGCTGGCATTCCCTAGAATCATTTGTATGTGGCCACTTGTGGAAATTGCAGCCACCATGAGCCAGGCTCTGAGAGAACCAGAGAAAGATGAGGACAGCAAATGGTCGGGCCGGGAGATAGTAGGAACCACTGCAGGCTCAGGCCAATGGCTGGAGGCTCCAACTCCATGGCTGGCACTCCCAAGAGAGGAGAGTACTTTTTGGAGTCCTATAGTTACTATGATTTTCCCCATTTCACAGACAAAGAAACAGGAAGGAAGAGGCTATTTAAAACATGAGTGGCAGAGTCCAAATCTAAACGCAGGCACCTCGGTGACAGAGGGTGCGTGCTTCACCCTAACACTCCACCACCTGTCATTTGGCCTGAAGTATAATTTCAAGTTAGTTAAAAATGGCATTCTGGTAAATTATTTTCTTGGCTTAGTTGATAGGAGAGAATCTGACCATATAAAAATCTTAGGCAACGTTATAACATCTAGAAAAAAATTTTAACGTAATTGCTTAGTTCAGCAGAAGCTGAAAGAGGTCTCGGGACCATGAATGATAGTATTGATTTTAAAAGAAATTCTCTTCTTTCTAAGCCTGCAAGTCACCTAATGACCATCAATTGCACAGAAAGATGGATAGAAGAGCTGGATGTAATTCCCTATGTATTCCCCACCAAACCACAAGGTGTCATTTAGCATGTGACAACCGTGCCGTCAAAAGATCACACCAATGATGTCTAAAAATCAACAAATGATCTATAAATCATTAGCATTTTAATGAACTATGTGAGCTAAAAATTTTTACTTTTTTATTTTTTTAAAGACTGGCGCCTGAGCTAACATCTGTTGCCAATCTTTTTTTGTTTGGTTGGTTTTTTCTTTTTCTTCTCCCCAAAGCCCCCCAGTACATAGTTGTATACTCTAGTTGTAGGTCCTTCTGGTTGTGGCCTGTGGGACACTGGCTCAGCATGGCCTGATGAGCAGTGCCATGTCCTCACCCAGGATCCGAACCAGCAAAACCCTGGGCTGTAGAAGTGGAGGGTGTGAACTTAATCACTCAACCACGGGGCTGGCCTCTGGACTAAAAATTTTATCACTTGGTAAGCAGTTTTATAAGTTTAGTTCAGAGAATAAAAAGGACTACATGTTTAATTTTTTATGCATAGGTTGAGTTATACATTAACTTATATTACTGTAATGCTTAAGTATTTTTAAATACCGCCCCTGCATTCACTTACAAAAACCATGTTTCTAAAGTGTGCAAGAGAGTGGGCTAGCAAATTTATGGTAATCTGAGTATAATATTCAAGCCCCACTACTTTACCCAAAATAACCCCCAAATCTGGTAGTCACACCGACTGCTCCTTGTCTATGGCTGGGGGTAGAGTTGTGCACAGAGAATCAGGACGTCCAGATAAATGTAAAACCATAGCAGATATAGTTTTCCTTTTTCTTTCTTTCCTTTTTTTTTTCTTTTTTTTTTTGCAGAGGAAGGGGGTTCTCTCAGCATCCCTCTTGGGGGAATCAACACTCCCTTACTTCATGTGGTCCTGGCGGAATGCATCAGGATGCTTTCTGTGGCATAAATTAGGAGAGAAAAAAGAAAAAAAAAAAACCCAGCCTTACATAATAAGACAACAATAAGAATAGTGAGACAACAGTCTCACATAAGAAGAAGCAGAAAGGGAAAGCAGTTCAATGACATCAAGGTCCCCTGTTCTTCAAAGGGCTTAGAACCTTTCCCTGAAGCCATCCCACCCCCAGTAGACTTGCATTCATGTCTCACTGGCCAGAATTGAGCCCCATACACCCTCCTAAGCCAAGTACTCACGTGGGGAAAGGAATTGTCTCAATGATACAGATTCACCAAGACATTCCCTACCTTCCAGAGCATCCCTAGTGAAACTTCATCAGCCAAAAGTCAGAGAAGACACCACTTGGGCTTGAGTTCCACATTCATAAATGTAGACCATAAGGAAGAAAAGGAGTCATTTAACAGATTGATATATAATTATTTCCCTTTCTATCAAAAGACCTCAAACACTGTCAAATAAAGCAATCACTCATCTTTCAATGCTGACAAAAACATACCCTAGCAGTGCAACTGGGGAGCTGGGTCCAAATTGGGAGCTAGTTCACCATCCTTTACTGGTTTGTGCAGCACCCGCTGGCCATCAAGTAACGTTGTCCAGCTTTGGAAGAAGCCAGTCAGATAACTAAGCAAATAGAATCTATTCAGAGCAGACAATTAGTGATACTACTTGTATCTGATAGGAATTTTTTTTATACAAATCATTTAAAACTCAGCTCAAATGGCTTAAGCAATCCATTCAGAGTTAGGGTGGGCTTTCAAAGAAGCTTGTTGATTTGGCAGCTCAGACATTATCACCAAGGACGCTTGGTGTCTTTTCTTCTTTCTGTCTCTTAGCTCTTCCTCCCATGGACAGGCGTCATCATCAGACTCCACGTGGTGGACATGCCCCACACACACACAACAGCTCAAGCTTTACTCTTATGACAAAATGGCTGCCTCAGTTTCAGACCCCACATCCTTATCCTAGATGATCTATAGAAAAGAAAATGTCAGTTCCCATAGCACATACCCTGGTCCTGGGATCGTTCATTGTCCTGAAATGAGTCATTTGACTAAATCCAAATTAATAACCACAACCGGGGGAAAGAATACACAGGTTGGTGTGGGTCAATCATACCCACTCCCAAACCACACGGAAAAGGGGTACGTTCAGGGCATAGTTAGAGGGAGAAGGGAAGAAGAAAGGAATGGTTACTGGAGTGACAAACAACAAATTCCCACTGCACCTCCACACCTGAGTTCCCGTCTACATAAAGGAATTTCACCAGCAAGCCCGCAGTTTCCAGAGCCATCTTAGAGCTACATTTTACAAAACCGCATGACTCATTTTACTCATTCAACCTAAGAGAAAAAAAATCCATAAATCATGGTATATTTTATTCAACAAGTGCCCCAGAATCAGAGTCACGGTACCCGAGACATCCTCCTCAGTTGGTTCAGTAGCAGGTTTTGTGGCTACAGCTCTCACTGATGAAACAACATGTCAAAGCAATTTCTGGATTCGTGCTCACTGGGCTGTAACCATTGCTAATCGAACTTGGAAATTTAGTTGCTGGCATCAGACACAAAGATGTGAGACAAAAACCAGGCTAAGCAATGAGATGCTAGCCCAGATTGGCATGCGGATCATTTTCACTCAATTTCTCTCCATTGATGGATCAAAGCACTCTGAGCATAGCATTCAAGCAGGACAAAATTCCAAAACCTATGTCTGTCCATCCAGCTCCCAGCTGTGGCCTGGAGACAAAGTAAGTGACACAGAGTGAATTCTCAGATTCCAATGACATATCAAGCAACAAGATGAAAAATGAGCGAACCATGACTGGCAGCCGAATAGGATGTTACTATTGTAACGTCCCGAGTCCGCAGCAGTTGAGTATACTCAAAACACACCTGGGATTGGAGTCTGGAGATTTATATTTGACCAATTACTTTGCTACTTAGGTAATTCACTTGGTGTCTCTAAAACTCAATTTCCTTCTCTGTAAAATGGGAGCAACAGAATAAAGCAGATAACTTTTGAAGTATCTGTGTAATTCACAATTACCCCTCTTAACTGTCCCCAATATAAAGAAGAACCATTTTGTAAATTTTTCCCCGGCAGCCATTTTCTACCATGGTTATAGGAACTGGACCAGGAGTAAAATCTGGCCAATAGTAGGTCAACTACATTTCTCTTCCTGATACTAATATTTAGAATTGGGCTCGAAAGGGAACAATTAGGCTCCTTCAGAGTGGTGGGACCAGTAACATGGAATCTCACACTATTAGCAACCGGACTTCACTTGTACTGACCTGCAGAGGAAGACGATCTACACAAAAAGATTAAAAAGCAGACACCCAAAGAAGGTGAGAGGGGACCAAGAGAGTTGCCACCACTTTCCAGGCCCTTCTAGAACAAGCACCGCTGCAGCCCTGCCCAAAGTTTCCATGGGAAATTCCATAATCTTAAACCAATCTTCTTCAATCCCGTTTTCTTATTTCAGCCATTTAAGTTGGTTTCTGTTACTTGAAAGCAAAGAATTTTTATGAACTCATAATGTCTAACTCACTGGGTGGCTGTGAGAATTAAATGAGATAGTAATGCTTTGTAAATGGAAAATACTATAAAAACTGATAAGGACGTTACATTTTATGACTGACAAAGACAATAGACCTGGACAAAACAAATGTACTGTTTTTTAATGAAAAACTGAAAGTATTTTGGAGAAAGAAGTTTCTTGACATGGAAAGATATTTAAGATATATCATTAAGCAGATGATCAAGTTACCAAAATAGAAATTTTTTATACCAGGGGTCAGCAAACTTTTTCTGTAAAGGGCCGGATAGCAAATACTTTAGGCTTTGTGAGCCATGCAATCTCTGTCACAACTACTCTATTGTTGTATTGAGGATGCTGCCATATATAATACGCAAACAGAGGAGTGTGTTTGTGTCCCAATAAGACTTTATTTATGGACACCGAAATGTGAATTTCATATAAATTTTACAATTTTGAAAGTGTTACTTCAAAATGTTAATAGAATTTATCTTAAGGTGTTAGGTTTCAGGAATACCCTATTTTCTTCTTTTTGATCACCTATATTTTCTATGTTTCTAGGATAGGCATATATTACGTATGAAATTATTTTTAATTAAATTTTTAAAAAAGGAAAGTGGAGTCATGAAACCTAGTTCATGAAATATAGGCAAGGACGCAGGAAAACGGTGGCGTTGGAGTGTGCAAGCCCTCCTGAGGTGCCCTGGAACACTAGCACTCTTCCTGGGAGCTAAGCTGGATGTGAGTCTCACTGTGGACCATGACTACACCACTGGGACAAAGCAGGGAACCATGTCTGAAAGGAGCTTCCCACAGTAACACAGAGCCACCTTACCAAGTACACTAGCCTCAGCTCTCCTGGCCTCCAATTCTAGAAGTTATAATAAGAACTACCCGAACCTGGAATCATAGTGTTTTCTGGAAGGAAAGAAACAAATGTTAATGAGCGTTGACTCTTTCTTTTTGGACCCAGATGATCAATGAATAGTTGGTTTTCGTTTATAGAAGGGAGCTCGAGGGAGCATCCACTCCAACTCTCACCAGGGCCCGAATGCCTCCATGCAGCAACCCTTTGCAGTTCTCAGCCATCCTCTGTCAATAGGAACATCACACGTGCAGTACGAGTCAGCATCCGTGGTTTGCCTCCTATGTGCCAGGCACCATGCTCTCTCCACCAATAGCTACAGGTCATGTTGTCAATGTCAGTATTGTTAGCATTCAATTCAATATGTCTGAAATAAAAATAGCAATAATAATAATGGTGCTATCTTCCTGGCATCCATTGTCTCATTTTTAAGTCTTCACTTTACCTGTGATGCATAATTACCCCAGTTGAGATACTGAGGCTCAGAAAGGCAAAGAGCTTGCCCAAGATCACCCAGCCAGCAACTGGCAAAGCCAGGATTCAATCATAGGACTGATTCCAAAGTGATAAAGCATCCAGGTCCTAGGACCTTACCATGCAAGTTAACACTTGGGAGCCTGTTAGAAACGCAGTGTTTCAGACCCCACCCCCAGACCTGAAGATTCTAATTCTGCATTTGGACACAATCCCCAGGTGAGCTGTGTGCCCAGTAAAGCCACTGTCCTAAGAATTTATTCTTCAGATTCAAAGGAAAGGGAGAAAGGAAATAAGATGTGTTAAGCACCTGTGGGCCAGGCACTGTGCCATGTTAATATGACTATTTTTCTTTTAATCACACAATAACCCTGATTTCACCCCCATTATATTAACATATAGGTGAGGAGCCTGAGGCTCACGGAAGTTAAATAACTTGCCCAAGATCCACAGTCAGTGAGGGGCAGGGCCAGGGCTTGACCCCAATGACCCCAACACAGCTCTGTCTGCTCTTCCTGCTTTTTCAGGGGGAACTCAAGGAAGCTGGAGGACCATGTAGCCAACTTGGAGGACCACGTAGCCAACTGGGAAAAGGGCTCAGTTAACCTTTGGGATTTGAGTTTACTTCTAATGTTGGAAAGAGGGCAATTTCTATGTTATAAGATTTAAGCTTATAATAAGCTATATTAGGGGACAACAGGTATAGGATCCTTAATTGTGTCCACCAGAAATGAGATTTTTTTTTACTTCTATTAAATTAGAATGTGTAGTTTCCATACAAAGTTTGTCCAAACGGTGCTGAAATGGCAGCCTTTGGAACTGACACATTCCTCATCTCTAATAAAAGTGGAAGCAGAAATTAGTCTCAGGGCAACTACTAAGCCCACAGTCAGCTAAAGAGAAATGGAAGGCTCCGATGCATACCAAGAAATGTCAGATCTTGTCAGAAAAAAGAAAGACCAAGCATTATTCAAATCAAGTCAAGAAAAAGAATGGGACTCACAGGATGGTTTAGATCAAGTGTTGTCCCTGATTCAGATGATAAAGGATATCCAAAACTGCATGGAAGGAGTAGAAAAAGCTGCCACAGGGGCCAGCTTGGTGGCATAGTGGTTAGGTTTGTGCACTCCACTTTGGCAGCCCAGAATTTGCAGGTTCAGATCCCACATGTAGACCTACACATAGGTGTGTTCATCAAGCCATGCTGTGGCAGCATCCCACATACAAAATAGAGAGGGGCTGGCACAGATGTTAGCTCAGCAACAATCTTCCTCAAGCAAAAAGAGGAAGATTGGCAACAGAAGTAGCTCACGGCCGATCTTCCACAGCAAAAAAAAAAAAAGAAAGAAAGAAAGAAAGAAAAAAAAGTAAAAGTTGCCACACACAAGCAGGCGACAGAGCCCAGGAGAGACAGTCTGTATGCTGTGCCACCCTTGGCCCACTCCACACATCCTGCCTCTCCTTTGCCTGTTTTGTTCAAGTCTGTATTCCTTTCACCTCAAAAGGTGCCTGGCACATAGTAAGCACTCAATCAATAGTTGGTGAATAAATAAATGAATGAATGGCATCAGGCAATGACTATTAAATATATCAAATGTTGCCCCAGGAAATCTGAGGTGTTCTATAGGGCTCTCTCCAAAGGATTTTGGGGGTCCTGAGAGGTGGGAAGAACAGACCTGCAGCTTTCCCTCCCCGTCTGCTTCTATCCAACTAAAACATCTCTATTTTATATATTGGGCTTCTAAGTAAGATTTGACTTAAAGAAAGAGTCTAATCACTAAAAAGGGAAAAATAAAATTTTGAAAATCCCTGGTACAATAGACAAAGATTAATCAAGAATGAAAACGAAAGATTCTAATTCTAACTCTTTTTATCATTAGCTGTGTGACCTTGAGTAAGTTGCTTAACTTTTCTGGTGCCCAGTTTCATCATTTATAAACCAGCCAGTTGGGTTTGGTTAGATTAGTTTTAAGGTCTCTTCCAGCTCTAATGTAATTTTATTCCCTCATTTTAATTACCAGCCAATTTTATTTTTTCTTTCTTCTTTGTATTTTTTCTGATTTGTTCTAATTTCTTTACAATGAGCATGTATTTTTTTTTGTAGAAAGAAAAGATTTATTTTCAAAGACATATAAATTAAATTAAACTAAAAAAATGCCTCCCAAGTATTCCCTGCATTTGCATTGCTTTTAACAAAAGCTAGAAGAGATGTTTTTCTCGCTCTCGCCTGGGGAGAACAGAATTTAAAGTCACGCTGTAGGGAGAGCTGGAGCCTTCAAAAGCAAGTAATGCTTAATCTGTTCTATTTCTGAAGCACAAAATAAAACCAAACAAAAAAGAAAAATAAGCCACCGCTTCACCAGTGCCAAGATTCCTCATGCATAAATAGAGATCCATCCAGAAAAACAGCTTTCTCAGTCGGGTGGGACAAATCCTTGTGTGCTTTTGTGGAAAATTCCCCAGCAAACTGGTATCAAGAACACTGTCTACAGCTGCCTGCACGTATGGCCAGAAAACTACACAAACGTTGTGAGATGCCATGACCTCTGCCCGGCGAGTGCATGAGGGAGAAAGCAGCGCCATCCCTCATCCCCTGAAGTAAACATGGCTGACAGTTCTTGAGTTGACTGCAAGACTGTTGCAAGCAAAACCAGTGTAGGAGAGGTCTGATTTTAGACCTCCAGTCTCCACTTTTTGTGTGTCTTTTCCTGGCCCACTAACTCCCTCCCCATGCCCATCCCACCCACCGTGAATCTTCCTAGTGCTCAGTACTGCTTCCCCACGGACCTCTGGGTAATCCTCTCTCCTCCTCCTTCCTCATTTATATCTCACTCAGGAGGGGACCTTAGCCACAGTCATTCCAAAGTATAACTAATGAGGGGGCTTTCTGTAATAACTCTCCCGGATGATCATACTTTAATGGAAACCGGGAAATGGTTTTCTACTTGCAGAATTTCTGATTTGGGTGAGATGGGTGGGAGGCAACAGGAGCAGGGAGAGCTTCTGGGTCCATCCGAAATCAGATATCAGAACTGATGTCATCATTCTGAAAGTACAAGACTGGGCGTCTCTCTCTTGTGTCTACACACTCTCTTTGGGTGAGCCCTAAATATCACGTCTGTTTTGAGATAGGGAACTTCTGTTCTCTATCTCTCCTGGAAATCCACATTCATATAATCAAGTCTCTATTTGTCATTTCTATTTGGATATCCAGAAGGAATCTTTCCTATGATCAAAACAGAACTTTTTTTTCCTCAGAAAGTCTTGAGTCTTCTTCAGGGTAAATAGTGTCACCACCCACTCTATTACTCAGCCCAAAAATCTAGGAATTATCCAGGTCTTTGATTTCCCTTATGCCCCACAATCAATTCAATGGCAGATCCAGGTAGCTTTATCTTCAAAAGAATCTCAACAACCATTTCTCTTCTTCTCCACTGCTCCTACCCCAACCTGAGCCATCATCATCTCTTGCCTAGACCATTGCTGTACCCACAAATATCTCCCTAATTCCAGTCTCCCTGAAATCCATTTCCCAGGAAACAGCCACTTGGGTGTTTTTAGAAACATAGATCCAATCAAGGCACTCTTCTACTTAAAACCATCCAGTGCTTCCCATCCCACTTACAATGAAATCCAAAGTCCCTGCCCCAGCTTACAAAGCCCCACAGGATCTGGTGCCTGCCTTCCCCTCTAACCTCATTCTGCTTCCACTTCACCCACCCCTATCCAGCCACACACTGGCCTTTTTTCTGTACTTCACACCCACCAAGCTGGTTTCTGCTTTAGAGGCTTCATGTGTGCTATTCACTCTCCTGACATGTTCCTCCCCAGGATCTCCCCACGGGTGGCGTCTTCTTATCATTTAGGTCTCAACAGGCAAACTTCCCTGCAGAGAAGTTTTTCTTGACCACCAATCGACAGTAGTCACCAGGTCAGACATCATCACAGCATTGTATTTTAATTATCTGCATAGCACTTATCACTGATATTTTCTTGTTTATTTATTTGTTGGTTTAAGTCTAAGACTTATATTATAATGCAAAATCCAAGAACTTCCCGATTGTTGGCCAAAGTTCACCATTGTCTATCTAGTGCCTAGCACACAGTGGACTCTCAATAAATATCTACCGAATGACCGGATGGATGAATAGTCAAGGAGATAAAGCAAAGATGTTTCCATTGAAAGGAAAGAAAACCATGAGGAAGCCTTCACAGCATGGTGAACTACAGTAGTCTTGACTCACCCCTGTCAGAGCCACCTTGTTTTGGGTGGGAGCCCCAGCCTGAGGTTACTTGGGAGCCTCTTTATTTTCAAGGGCAAGCCAAGATTTCTTCTTCTCTCTCTGCATCTCTTTTTAATTTTATACTGATAATGACATTAAAGACATTTTGAAAACATGAAAAAGCAACCCACAATACCATCATCAAAGCAAAGCAATTCTTTCCACATATACATATTTCCTTTGAGTTTTTATTCATAAGCAGATATAGTGTTCACAAGATTGCAACTAAAAAATATATACTATTTTACTGGTTGCTTTTTATACTTACTATTAGATCACAACCATTTTCTACGCTCCTGCAGATCTGAATATTTTTGTAATATTAGTAATAGCTTGCGTTGACTGAGAGTTTGCTATTTGGCAGGCATTGTTCAAAGCACTAGTATTATCTTGTTTTATCTGCACAATAACTTTTTAAGGTGGGTGCTATTATTACTTCATTGCCTCCAATCTTGTAGCTTCTCCTGCTAGAGAAGGCACTCGCACGTGCACACTATATGTATCAACAACAAATTTCAATATGAGCTTGTTAACAATATTGACTGGCTGCAGCCACAATAATGGAATGCTTCAATAAACTGTGATGCATCTAGTCTGTCTATACCACACT